CATGACAATCCCACAGCTGGACACTTTGGACAGCACAAAACCATGATGCTTGTCACCAGGCAGTTCTGGTGGCCCAGGGTGAGGGAGGATGTACGGGAATATGTACGGGGTTGCGACCGCTGCCAAAGGGCAAAGGGGAGCGGGCTGCCCCGCAGGATTACTGGAACCCTTACCCACGCCGGGAAAACCCTGGGAGGTGGTGTCCATTGATTTTATGTCCGATCTGCCCAAGTCCCGGGAAAGACAGCAGTCATGGTAGTGGTCGATTTACTGACAAAAATGTGCCATTTTATAGCCTGCTCACATGCGGTTACGGCAGAGGAAACAGCCAGGTTGTTTGTAGATCACATCTTCAGGTTGCATGGGACTCCCTCGAGGGTTATCTCCGACCGCGGGAAACAATTTACTTCCCGGTTCTGGAGGAAGCTCATGAGCTTGCTACAGGTCGAAGTGGGCTTCTCGACGGCGAGACACCCGGAAACCAACGGGCAAGCAGAAAGAGCGAACAGTATACTCCAGCAATACCTACGCTGTTACGGTCAGCGAGAGGCAGAACGATTGGGTGGAGAAACTAGCGCTGGCTGAATTTGCGTACAATAACACTGAACATGTGTCCACGGGAATGAGCCCGTTCATGGCCAATTATGGGTGTCACCCCAGGGCCTTCCCGGGGAGTGGGGAGGAAAGTTGGAGCGTGCCTGCGGCAGAGCAGTTTGTGGAAGAAATGGAGGCCCTGCACCAGCAACTTAAGATGAACTTGGAGAGGGCCAAGGAAATTTACAAGAGGCAGGCAGACAAGCACCGTAGGGAGGGGAAACCATACGGGTGGGGGACAGAGTGTAGTTGTCAACCCAAGGGTTACCCTGTAAGGGGGTGCAGAAGTTGCAGCCCAGGCGGCTGGGACCGTTTGAAGTAACACAGCAGGTGAACCCCGTGGCATTCAAGCTCAAGTTGCCTGACAGCATGAAAATCCACCCAGTGTTCCATAGGTCCCTACTCTCACCGTACAGGGAGGGCGGGAATTCCCGGGGCGAGAGGGAGCAGTCACCACCCCCCCGCAGGGAGACGAGAGGGAGCCCCACCACTTGGCCACGGAAATACTTGATTCAAGGTGGCGAGGACGCCAGGTGGAGTACTTGGTAGCTTGGGAGGGAGAACTCGGGTCGGAAAACACGTTCCCGCGGAGGCAATTGATGACGGGTATCTGGTGGAGGAATTCCACCGCCTGTTCCCGGGCAAACCCAAACCACTGGCGAGATTCTGGGAGGAGCAATTTGGAACCACAGACGATGAAGAGGATTTTGTGGGTTTTCCTGCCTCCGAGGAGGAGGGAGGAGAGGTTTCGGAGGAAGAAGAATCAGACTGGGAGGCCCACCCCGCGGGAAGGGATCAGAACGGGTGGGAAGCGGGCTTCGAATCCTCTGAGGATGACGACAGCTCCTTCCGGGGTTCCCCGCATCGTTGGCCGAAGAAAGGGACGAGTTGGATCAACAGGTTGGGCCGGGGTGGAGGGGTCCTGGGGGAGGTGGATGTCAGGGAACTGACATCGGAGCTAGAGGTGGAGGGAAGGCTCTCTAATGATGCTGGAGAAGGGCCCAGCAGGGAGAGAGGCAGCTCAGCAGATGGGGAAGCAATTCAGTGCAACACCAGGAATAAGGAGGGGCCGTTGGGGGATTGGGCGAGAGGGCTCCCAGACTCTTCACCGGACACCAGCGGGGAGAGCACTGGTCCTCCGCTACCCATGCCCTCCCTGCGCAGAAGACTTCCGCGCAGAGAAAGTAGGAGGAGACTGGGTGTCAAACAACTTTTATGTTGGAAAAGGTTTAAGAAACGCCCACTGACGGATTCTGCTAGCGACTGAGGCAGCCACGAATTGAAGGGCTGTCCAGACAGAAAGGTTTAACAAGGCAACATAGCCAGGAGAGGCAGCAACTTACGCACGAGCAACCCCATACCATTATAGTATGTATTAAAAAGCTATACTCAAAGACTGAGAATTTAATAATATTGTCCCAACCTTTCTTCCTTATCTTTTTATTGTTATTACATTTTATTGTCTTGGCTGGTGTGTTGGCATGTCCATGGTTACAGATGTTCGTTTTATTATTTTTACTTTAATACATATTATCACCTTCTAAAATGGCACTTTCCTGCAAGTAGACACATTCACTGTCAGGTCTAACCAAGCCCCATTTTATTCCTGCAGCTGTAATGGTGCTACGATTTTATTCAAATTTAAAATACAAAACAACAGCTGCTCTGAGTGTTACTTTTTAAATAAAAAAGACTCAGGATAGACAAGCTGAACTATGTCTCTCTCACACACACACATACACACACACAGCAGGAATATACAGTTGCGATGCATGGGATGGTGGTTGGGGATCCATTATGTGTGGGTCACCATTATAGTATATTCACCAGGATGGCTAGGTGAGGGTTAATATGTTTCTAATGCATATGGTTCCTGTCTCCGTTGTGAGATCAGTTATAGGTCTCTGGCCAAAGATAACAGCTAAAATGTAACAGATGCTGGATCCTCCACAGCTGAGGTGAAGTATTTCCTTTCATCCTAACTAGTCATTGATAATGTCCCCACAGTTGGAAACGTCAAGGGCACGAGCAGGTTATTACAAAATTAAATAAATGAACTGCCTAAAGTGAGTTAAGATCAACAGATACGCTGTTCGTCACTCCTTTTTGAAAGGCATCAAAATGAAAAGTAAAGTAAAGCCCTGCATTTCTACAGGAAGGTATCAGGCTTATTAAAACCAAAGCTAAACATGCCTTGGTTGAGTAGCCCTACTGTGTGCCTGAGGCCAGCCCTACCAATCGGCAGAGTGAGGCAACTGCTCAGGCAGCACATGCCAGGGTGCAACAGCACACATTCACTCATTCCTCCTGAGTCCCAGCTCTGTATCTCCTGCATTAGACTGCAGTTCTCAGCTGGAGAATGTTGTCCCATCAACAGGACTGAAAGACGTTTTGACTGTCAATCCAATCCTATTCTCTGTGTTGTATCCAGAGTAAAACCCTCTGAACTATGGGCCTAAGTTAGGCCCCACCTGTGTTATACATTTAAGGCAGTACCACTTGACTTTAAATGATCCTGGCTCCCCCTGAAGAATGCTAGAAACTGAACTTTGATGCTAAGAGTTATTAGGAAGCTTGTTATGTCCTAACCTTGGATCCTAGAACAATAGGCAAGTAGGCTCCTAGAATACAACAACTGATTGGCTTGCAGGAGAAGACCAACCAGGCTCCAGGAAGACGTTGATCAGCCTCTTAGGCTGGTAGGATGGTAGAATGCAACAACTGAACTGATTGGTCTGCAGGAAAAGACCAATCAGGCTCCAGGAGGGAAGCAAAATCAGCCAATCAGACAGGACTCATTGTGTAAATAATGTATATAAAAGCCTGAGGTGTGTGTGGGGATTCAGTCACAGTTTTACAAGCTGCAATAAAGAGCATGAAATCACTACAGGACTCCAAGTATATTTCAAAACCCCTATTTCCCTCACAGAGCAGCAATTCCCAGACTTCCCTGGAAAGAGAGGTCAGCTGTTAAACCATATTGGGAATTATAGTTTGTTAAGGTTTCTGAGAGTTGTTAGGACACCCCCATTCACCTCGTAGACCTGCAATTCTGAAATTGGCTTAACAGTCAATCCCTCTTCCCAATGAACTCTGGGAATTGCAGCTTTGTGAGGGGACCTAGGGTATCCCAACAATTAACAGACTACAGACTACAGTATTCTCTGAGGGGGAGGCGTTGCTGTTTAAAGTGGTGTGATACTGATTATGAACGCATAGAACTGTAGATTTGAAAAGGACTTTGAGGGTCATCTAGTTCAACCCCTTGCAATGTAGGAATATCAGCTAAAGCAGGCTTCCTCAAACTCGGCCCTCCAGATGTTTTTGGCCTACAACTCCCATGATCCCTAGCTAGCAGGACCAGTGGTCAGGGATGATAGGAATTGTCTGTTGTCCAGGAAACATCTGGAGGGCCGAGTTTGAGGAAGCCTGAACTAAAGCATCCACGACAGATGGCCATCTGACCTCTGCTTAAAGACCTCCAAGGAAGGAGAGTCCATAACCTCCTGAGGGAGACCGTTCCACCGTCGAACAGATCTTACTGTCAGAAAGTTCTTTCTGAGGTTTCATTGAAATCTCCTTTCTTGTAACTTGAATCCATTGGTCGTGGTCCTTCCCTCTAGAGCAGAAGAAAACAAGCTTGCTCCATCTTCCATGCCTTTTAGGTATTTGAAGATGGCTGTCATATATCCTCTCCGTCTTTGCTTTCCCAGGCTAAACATACCCAACCAACCAAGGCTTGGTTTCCAGACCCTTGATCATCTTGGTCACCCGTTTCTGCACCCATTCTAGCTTATCAATATCCTTCTGTTTGCTATGTCCCTTCAAGTATCTGTTAGGTTACAACCAGGGCTCACGTCGGACAGATGAGGATAGGGGTGGATTGTGTACCTCCCTCAAATACACCACCTGCAGGCTCACATGCTTCAACTCAATAGCCAGCTGACTGGCATCTTCTTACCCACTTGCTGCTGCCATACAGGGGGCCTCTGTAAAAGATCCCAATTATTGGGTAGGATTCTGCCGTATTGTATTATCTGAAAAATATTACAAAAGTAAATCTAAATCTAAGCATAAATTGCCTTCTGTTCCCCCCATGAACAGTATTTCAGGATTTAGGTTACATTAAAACACAATATATTCTACAAGTAGGATCAATAATCTTCTATTTAACATAGTATTTGATCTACTGTGATATATAATTCATATTTTCATTTACAGTGTTCATTGTTTTTGATAACCTATAATCAAAACAAATGACTCCCTTAATTAGAGCCACATTTCAAGTTTCTTCATTCATCTAACCCTCTTCTAGTTGATCCAATTTCCCCTTTAAAATGGCCAAACGACTTTTAATATAGTTGGAACCGATCTACCAGATTCCTGCCTCTTTATAAAATCAATAGATGAACGCCAGCCTGCCAAAAGCTTGTCCATTTTTGTTTGAACTTGAAGTCTGTGAAATAGTCATTCCACAACAGCTATTTGCTTTATTTAATCCTCCAATTTTCCAGATTCATGAATCCACACCCCCACCATTACTTAGTTATTGTCATTCTTGCTACAAAAAGAAGGTGAGTAATCAGTTTCCTTTGCCTTAAGATACTATTTATCATCCTCAGATAAGTTCAGCAAGGCCACAATAGGAGCGATTTTTTTTCTTGCTTTACTGTTCTATTTTATTTTTAAACCTTTTTTCTTCACTTTTCAGCCAAAAAGGCTTCTAGAACAGCTTATAGATATATATGTTTTATTTCAATTTTTTAAAGGCAGATAAAGTGATCCTTCAGGTAAGTCGTTATAGGTCAAAAGCAGCACTTTGAGCTGTGTTCAGAAATAAATAGGTAGCCAGTGCACACTATGCAAAAGCCTTTGACTGTGTCGACCACAGCAAACTATGGCAAGATCTTTAAAAAAATGGGAGTGCCTGATCACTTCATCTGTCTCCCGAGAAATCTCTATGTGGGACAAGAAGCTATAGTTAGAATTGAATATGGAACAACTGATTGGTTCAAAATTGGGAAAGGAGTACAATAAGGCTGTCTATTGTCTCCCTGCTTATTTAACTTATACGCAGAATTCATCATGCAAAAGACTGGACTGGATGAATTCCAAGCCGGAATTAAGATTGCCAGAAGAAATATCAACAACCTCAGATATGTAGATGACACAACCTTGATGGCAGAAAGTGAAGAGGAATTAAAGAACTTTTTAATGATGGTGAAAGAGGAGAGTGCAAAATATGGTCTGAAGCTCAACATCAAAAAAACTAAATTCATGGCCACTGGTCCCATCACCTCCTGGCAAATAGAAGGGAAAGAAATGGAGGCAGTGAGAGATTTTACTTTCTTGGGTTCCATGATCACTGCAGATGGTGACAGCAGTCACGAAATTAAAAGATGCCTGCTTCTTGGGAGAAAAGCAATGACAAATCTAGACAGCATCTTAAAAAGCAGAGACATCACCTTGCTGACAAAGGTCCGTATAGTTAAAGCTATGGTTTTCCCAGTAATGATGTATGGAAGTGAGAGCTGGACCATAAAGAAGGCTGATTGCTGAAGAATTGATGCTTTTGAATGATGGTGCTGGAGGAGACTCTTGAGAGTCCCATGGACTTCAAGAAGATCAAACCTATCCATTCTGAAGGAAATCAGCCCTGAGTGCTCACTGGAAGGACAGATCCTGAAGCTGAGGCTCCAATATTTTGGCCACTTCATGACAAGAGAAGACTCCCTGGAAAAGACCCTGATGTTGGGAAAGATTGAGGGCACAAGGAGAAGGGGACGACAGAGGACGAGATGGCTGGACAGTGTTCTCGAAGCTACCAACATGAGCTTGACCAAACTGCAGGAGGCAGTGGAAGACAGGAGTGCCTGGTGTGCTCTGGTCCATGGGGTCACAAAGAGTCGGACATGACTAAACAACTAAACAACAACAACAATCACAGTTGGTACAAAAGTGGGGGCAACCTGAACCCTCCATCTCACCCCTGTGAAAAGCCATTTTCTTAATGGAAGCCTACAACATTTATATGGGTAGTGGCTTAGACTGAAATCTACATGGAAGAATAGATTTCTCTCTCTCTCTCAACTAACATATGTTAAAGGTATTATTTCATAAAATATATGTTTATTGTGCAGTTATCTCAGCCTGCAGGCTTATAGTTCTCTAGTATGTATAAAACAGTACATAACTATAACCCACAGAGACTGCAGGTTTATTCAAATCCCTTGACTGTAAGGGAAATACCAAAATAGCAGAATGTAAATAGGAGGCTGTGTTATATGTAATGACCTTAAAATATTTCTGTAGCAAACAACAGCACTTTTGTCTAATTTTCAGTTTCATGGGTTATTATCTCTGTTGAGATTCTTGTCGAGTTATTTACATGGAATTCTTCAGCTTTCTACAGCTTCAGCCATACTTTCTGAATAAATCATGCAACTTTATAAAGATGTTTAAATCGCCAGATGTATTTTGGTTTCTCAGTAGTGCAGATGATGTACTAAGGCACATCTGTTAAGGAACCTGTCCAGAGAAGAGCAATTTTTCCCCTGTAGTGCACATGCAAGCAGAAGATTCTGCACAGTCTCAAAAGTCCAGCCTCGTTTCCCAAAGCCCAACCCTCACCTGTGGTTGATGACCCTATTTGTCTGGAAATCATATCATCATATTTCCTGCTCCCATAAGCAAGTGTGTCTACAATTCCAGTAACCAACGTATTCTTCAGAATGTGTTCGCCCTCCCCTTTTTAATCTTTTGTTAGTCTGCTAAATCAACACTCCATCGAGGAACCAAAACAGATGTCAAGCTTCTGAATCTCAGGAGGTGTCAGAGAACTTTGTAAAATAGCTAAATAAAATTTCACACCTGAAAACTATACACAGTAACTTTCTTTTCCTCCATTGTCAAAGTTGCTGAAGATAGAACACTAGGCGTCCCAGCTATCTATCACACCAGTTTGACATTTTCTGCACAAATCATTAACATTTTTGTCTGTACTTGGTAGCAGGGAAGTTGCATTACAAATGATGGATCTTGGACCACTGTCTTCAAATCACTTTTTCTGGAGAAATCCCATTGGAATCAGGGCTGCATCTGCCATTATATTTCCCCGACTGCGTTTTACAAATACTTGTGGGGAAGTAGCTCAGGATGCATATGCCATAAAAGTCAATGACAAATTTGAGATATATGGATTCAAAAAGAAAGTCTTAGAAGCTTTCTGAAACACGAGTTTCGGGCATAATTCTAAAACCCAACTGACACAGGAGCCCTAAATAGTTACATCCTCCATGTGGCTAGAAGCCTCTGAGTGACTGTAATAGCTCTTAGTTCTGATAAGTGGTTATGGTCACACACAAGCAGCACCTTTCTAGCTCTTTTTCAGTACTCTCTGCTTGTTGGCCCATAAGCTTTGCGCTCTTTAGAAATGTCTGGCTTCAAGAAGTGGCAGCCCAGAACAAGGAAGCAGGCTGGAATGGGCTTTTCCCCCCCAGGGAGTGCAGGCCATATTAGTTCATACAGTCACTAGAAGCTTTTCACTACATGAATGCTTCATGTGGACTCCTAATGAGCAGGCTTTATAGTGAACCAGCATTACAAAGATGCACATCCTCAGGTGTTTTCTGCCTACCTTTTGAAAAACTGATGCAAGAATATTCACTTGGGAAGGCGTTCTACAACAGCCCTTTGTTTGAAAATTGTAGAAATGCAAGTCGTAAAGCCATCTGAGATAGTTTTCTAAAAATGGCTCTACAAATTAAACAAGTTCATTACATGTTAAGAAACTTGGTCCAGGACCTTAGCTGGTGTATATCAGGTTTGTTCTGTTGACATCAGTATTAAGGATGCAAATTTCCAACAGCTGAGATGCTGGTCTTCTGCTTTTCTTTTTTCCAGGAGGACTCATCACAATAACTCCCAAGAGCGCTTAAAATTGCTAAGGCAGCTGTGTGTTTACCTTAGGAAACAAAAAGGAAATCATTGATATTCGTGTAATAACATTCTCGTAGAAATGTAACAGGATAGTGTGAAAGTGTTTACACGGAGGGAGCAAGGCTTAGCTTCTCTTGACATGTTGTGTTGTGTTTTTCCTGTTACAGCAGCAGAACATAATAAAGAGTTGGATGCATATAATGGACATGCAGTCTGGGGCCTTTAAACAGAAAGTTTGCCTAAACCTAGTCAAAGTGTAAGTTCATTTTCTTTTCTCTTTTTCTAAATGCATTTAAAGGAATGCCAAGGGTGTGGGTTTTTCCCCTATGAGGATAGGTGTTTCTTTTGGGGAGTGGGGGTACTTTTGCTGCTGCATTGTCCTCAGACTAAGCTGAGCAAATATTTGTCCAAAATATCTGTATCATAGAGTTGGTTGGGTCACTAAAATGGTATGACAAAGGCTTTAAAAGTCTTTATAAAGTATCTCAAGATACTTCCATCTTGACTGCTGGCCCAAGGGCTATGACCTGAAGACACACGATGCATGAGTTTTGCTGAGGAAAAGCATTTCTGGGTCTTTAGCATGTGCACCATCAGAAGTGGCTAGCTGAGTGGGGCTAGCTTCCCAGCAGGTGGGTCACTGTTGCTTATCAGGAGGGAGAAGAGCGAGGTGGCAGAGAGGTTGGTGCAGTGCAAATGCACTGGTGAAGTCAATCTGGAGCGCCTGCTAGAGTGTTTGCATTGCACCAACCTCCCTGTCCCCTCTCCCTCTCTGCTTGTCAAATGATAGCACTCAGCCACTTCCAAAGATTCCGGTACACGTGGCAGTATAGCGTAGGTCTGCAAACATAATTCTGGATCAAGGACTGGGCTATAAGGCTGATTCACATGTTGTTGACATACATCATTTCATATATTATCCCTCAGTGACTCTCAGCTGGTTGTTTCTGTGGTGTTTGCTGAAAAGTATTGGGCTTGAGGTGATACAAGTTGAGAAAGAAGTGCAGCATCTAGCCTCAGTGTGATGACACTAAAGGAGTGTCTGACCTTTGAGCTGCCTCTTCAGAATGTGATGAGGGCAAGGGCACGGCCCCATGTGGTTGTAGATGGGCTTGCTCCTAGGTGAGAGTTTGGAGCAGCCTGCAGTGAGGGAGTTTTGAGTTAATATGGCCTCCAAGAGGCAGGTGAAATGGCAGGGAGGTGTGGGTGGGTGGTAATTGCATGAATACAGCTCGCAAATATTATTTGTGGGTATCTGATGATTGCATTGTTTTATATTGTTTTGATTTATTTATTGTACTTACATTGTTTCTTTTCTGTTAATATGCTGTTCATGGCTTTGGGAGCCTGTGAGTTCTATGGTGTGGAGTGGAGGTATAAATATAATAAATAAATTAAAATAGGTTATTCAGCTTGTTTTTAACACTAGACGTATTTTTATGTAGAAACTCAAGATCAGAGTGGCTAACCAGTGGTCCTCCAGATGACTCCAGCTTCTATTAGCCCCAACCAGCATGGTCAATGGTCAGGGATGATATGAGGAAACACTCATAGAGCTGTACTGCTAATTATATATATATATATATATATATATTCACATTAGCAAACATAAGCTACTGTGTGTAATAATTTCAGTAGCTCTTTTTTGAGTAGGACATTGAAAACCTTAAATACTAAGAATATAATAAACTAAAAAGGATAAAAAGTAAGAAGCCAATACAGGCGTACCTTGGTTTTCGAACAGAATGCGTTCCGGAAGTCTTTTCGACTTCCGAAACATTCAGAAACCAAGGCATGGCTTCCGAATGCGCAGGCGCGCTGGAAACAATAGTGGAAACCTCATCGGATTTTCAGCTTCCCCCAAAAATGTTCAAAAACTGCAAGCAATTTCTGCAAGCAATTTCCCCAAATGTAAAACAATTCTGATGTTAGTTTCACTAATATCATATGCATTTTTGTGCTCCTTTTCTGATAACGCGTGCATTTTGTATACATTATATGGCTGGAGAACTGCATCAGAAAATTCATAGAAGGGCGAATTTCAAAATAAATGGTGTTTTCATTAACATATCATTTTGGGAGGTGTGAAATAGGCAGATTCACATAAAAATGTGGACCAAACAAAATTTCACCCTCATCCATAGGTGAACCTAGGAAAAATGTATTCGTTGTAACATTCACAAAGGGGTATCTAGGAGCTTTTCACCATATATTAATAGCACCTCAAGCATCTACTGATTAAATAGTATAGATGAATAAAGCAGACAGGTCCCTGCCCGCAGGCTCACAGTCAAATAAAGCATGGGAAAAAAGGTTTAGGGAGCACGTAGCTACACATCATAGTGCGTTGGATTTGCAAGGGGCAAGCATTCAAGGATGAAATTTGAATGGAGGGTTGTTCTGCACCACAAACAGCTGTGATGAATCCACACAATGACAATAGGCTTCCAGCTATAATAAGAGGCCCTCCAACATGGCTGCAAATCCACAGACATAACTTAATTCCTTGTTCTTTTCTGGGCGGCAGAAAAGTGGTGGTTCTAGGCCGGATGAGGTGATGAGTTTTTAAGGAACAATAAAGGCAAATGACTCAGAAAATATAATTACCCTGGTTTTGGAAATTGCATTGGAGGAAACAGGGGTCATTTTTTTTGCCTTTGTTTCTGTGGTTTCCTCTACTGGAAAATATTAAATAGCCGTATGACAGTGCAATACGGTGAACGCCTGCTCAGAAGTAAATCCCACTGTGTTCAAAGGGTCTTACTTCTTCCCACTGTGGTGGGAAGGTAAACGGCGTTTCCGTGCGGTCTGGCTTCCGTCATGGTGTTCCGTTGTGCCAGAAGCAGTTTAGTCATGCTGGCCACATGATCTGGAAAGCTGTCTGTGGACAAACGCCAGCTCCCTCGGCCTGAAAGCGAGATGAGCGCCACAACCCCATAGTCGCCTTTGATTGGACTTAACCGTCCAGGTCTCCTTTACCTTACCTTACTCCCAGATAAGTGTATTTAGGGTTGCAACCATAGTTTCCTAAGCCACACCTTTTAATTGGGTTTTGTTTTTTGTTTTGTTTTGCCATGAAGCCACACATCTCTGCATTGTTCCTCAAACTGAAGAGTCCAGGAATATCTTCCTTCATCTCTTTGGGTGGTAAATTCTTGCAACCCTAAGAAAACACAAAGGACTCCACAGAGGGCCTTGATTTCAACAGGCCGCATAGAGGGAGTCGAACTCTGCTCCATGCCCACAAACGTGAACAAGGTATAATAACCACTGTGGTTGTCAAGGATTACCTTTGGTATTGTGGTTAGCACATATCAGCACTCAGCTTGGCGAGCACTCTGGTAGGTGACTTGATCTACAGCGTGAGACCCCATGGCTTTCTGAGGTTCTTAATTGAACCCAGCCTTGTGGCTGGACACTTTTCATCAAATGTGTCGGCCACCTGTGCATGCAGCAGGAGAAATCCAAGACACACTAAGATTCATCTCACCCAAACCAGAATTGTTTGTCAGACACCATGCCTGTCTGGGGAGAAAATGAAATTGATGGCACACAGCTAGATTCCACAGTATTCTTTCAACAGAACATCACAGGGAAACAATACCACAAGCATCCATAATGTATAAAACATGAAAAGGAGCAGAAGGAATAAACATGTCTCAAAATGCACTTAATCAAGCCATCCTCTTACTGAAACCAGTAATTATTCTGGATTATGAGAGAGAGAGAAAGCTTGCAGTATTTGGAGTTTACGAAACTGTTAAAGTCATGAGAGCTTAAAGAGAAGTTGAGGGACAAGAGGACATCCTCTCCTTTATTTATCCCATTGTTAACCTACCCTTGCTTGAAGGAGCTCAGGGTGGCTTATGTGGAGCTTATTTTGTTTTCAGCAACCTTGTGAGATAGCGTAGGCTAAGAGATAAGTATTTTCCCCATGGTCACCTAGTGGGCTTCATGGCTCAGTGTGGATATGAACCCAAGTCTCCCCAGCAAAAATCTAACACTCCACCCATTATACCACACCGGTTCACTTTGGAATAGCTAATTGAAGGAGATGTGCCCACCTTCATAGTTGTCTGGCCAAACTCTATCAGACTTCTCCATAAGTAATTCTTCCTAGGCAATTACCCACACAGTAAAGCCTATGGTATCTGAAATTATACAGCAAAATAAGCAAAATTATACCAGTTATACTTAATCCCTATGGGTAAGATTCATTTAAGAACTGATAATAAGGATTGTGTGCATTCGCCATATGGAACTTTAAAATAATAACTCAAAAGGCTTGAGTTCCCCCCCCCAAAAAAAAATATATATAGGGCCAACAGGATTTTCTAGGTCTCTACTTGACATCTCTCTTCTGCCCAATGTTCAGTTTCTTTCCAGAGACTTTTTTGGACTATACACATTTTGCAGAGTCATAGAATTGATGAGTTGGATGGGACCAATTCCTGCAATGCAGGGATCTTTTTGCCCAACATGGGGCTCAAACCCACAATCTTAAGATGAAGAGTCTTGTGTGCTACCAACTGAGCTATTCAAAAAAGTAAAATGTATATGCACATTCAGAGATTGCTGCGGGTCCCCTCTTGACCACACACAATTCAAAGTGTTGACCTTTAAAGCCCTAAACAGCCTCAGCCCAGTATACCTGAAGGAGCGTCTCCACCCCCATTGTTCTACCCGGACACTGCGGTCCAGCACCGAGGGCCTTCTGGTGGTTCCCTCACTGCGAGAAGCTAAGCTACAGGGAACCAGGCAGAGGGCCTTCTCAGCAGTGGAGTCCGCCCTGTGGAATGCCCTCCCACCAGATGTCAAAGAGAAAAACAACTACCTGACATTTAGAAGACATCTGAAGGCAGCCCTGTTCAGGGAAGTTTTTAATGTGTGACATTTTAATGTATTTTAAATCTTTGTTTGAAGCCGCCCAGAGTGGCTGGGGAAACCCAGCCAGATGGGCGGGGTACAAATAATAAATTACTATTACAGAAACAAACACTTCCATATATGCTGCCCAGTATGGGGGCCAGCACATCTTCCTAGAACTCAAGACAAGTACGGTTGTCAACACAGAAAGAATTTCGGTCTACCTGCCTGTGGAGTTTGTGGGCTAGAAGAACTTTATGGAAATACCTCAGGTGCTTAAGCTATCTAGGTGCTGCAAATGTATATTTTAAAGTATTATATTTCCCCCCTTGATTTCCTTGGTTTTATCTTTTTGTAAACCACCCTGGGGTTTTTTTAATTATTTTTTACAATCACATGGTATATAAATTTAATGAAATAATTAAACAAAATAAATGCATGGATGTATGAACCGCAAACACAAAAGCAGCCTATATCATTCTACAGATAAAGCTGGAAACATCCCAAAGCCGCTAGCTAATGCAACCTTGTAAAATTCCTTCCTGGATTATAACTATGCATATCAACTTAGTCCTGAGTATACAAGCAAGACTGACCTCCAGCCAACACCAGGGCATGATGGTTTTTTTTTGGTCTGTTGTGAACTAGGGCTGGGCGGCATCTGGTTTTCAACATTGTGATACATAACCAGCTAAACATTGTAATATGCTGGTATAGCACGATGTCTGAAATAAGGATGGAGCTGTGTAGAGGCATTGGCTGATTTCACGGTTTTCCCCACATCATGAGATATTTTTTTGCATAGCGCACAAAAAATACATCATGATTCGTGATTATATTGCTGAGTCAAAAATGATGAAACTGCTATCACGAAACGGTTTTGGACGATATATCTACCAGCCCTATTGTGAACCATCCTGGGATGCAGGGCAGTATGTATACAAATTTAATGAATTAATAATACTGAAGTCAGCAGGGCCTGGATCTCCAGTATCAAGGTGAAACATACTGGTTTCTGGAAATGCCCTGGGTCTTTTCTGGAGAAGGTCACCATGAAGAGAACCACAAACATATTGTTGCATTCTGCTTCATTTTGGACTCTGGTGGCATCTCAGTTCTTAGGCTGAAGTTCTGTTGTCCATTATTTAGTCCATTGAAATAACAATGTGTAATTAGACACAGGGCTGTGGCCTTAGTAAGTATTTAGAAAACTTTCTAGCTATGCATGAAACATCTACTCCTTATGGTTCAGGAATATTATCGAAACTATTTGCCTAAACATTAATTCAAGAAGTATTTCCTATTCATTAGTCTTCTGTTTAAAATATGCCAATCACCCTCCAAAGGACCAGGAACAATAGTGTTGGACAAAACACAAGTAACAAGGAGCAAATGGTTTGAAGTAAACATTTCGCACACGCAAAAACATTCCGAAACTCAGCTTCACTGGCTATTTGGCTAATAAACATGAATGATGAACACATTCAAAGAAACAGATGATGGTTTCCATAAATATATGAAGTGGAAAATTCATAATGAAGCTTAAGAATGATTGATTGCTTGACTAATTATATTTTCTGCTATGCTATTTATTTTATCCCTCTGTGTAAATTCACAGAAAGAGCACAAACATATAAATAATATAACATACGCCGGTGTGTGTGTGTGTGTGTGTGTGTCCAGCACTGTGGTCTGCAGACCACCCGTGGTCCATAAGCGGTGTGTTTGTGAAGAACACTTTCAATCTGAATTTTATGGAATTCAAATTGCAATACAATAAAATACAACAGAAGCAATAACAGAAGCAATAAAAAATTCAGCTGAAAATCATACAGCATCTAGCACAGGGCATTACAATTGTTACAAGAGCCAGATTTTTATTTTTTTTTAATTTAAATGGTCCACTAATACCCAGAAAAACTTTCAAGTCATTTTTTTTGGGGGGGGGAGGCGAAGTTTGGGAACCAGAGGCATATGCAAATTTATCCCTGCGTATAAATTCACAGGAGCAACGGAAACATCTATTGATTAACAGTGCTGGGTATCTAATGTAGCCAACAGTTTATTCTAAACTGTGGTCACAAATGGTTGCAAATAGACTAATTTAAATGGTTATCATTTAACCATTTATCATTTATTGTCCATTCTGGGTCTCCCAACCACTGTTAACAGTGTCCTTTTTCTTGGCAGATCAAGATGAACAGGTGACAGCAAAAGTTGCAAGGTTTTTAACCGGGCAAATAGAATTAGATCCATTTTTTGACTATTGATCCAAACCCCCAAAATGTATTTTATATAATTAACTTTTTACCTTTATCCTCCTGTATACTGCATTTTGTTTTATTGCTGTGGCTGGTAGCTGATGCAATTAAAGATTCGTTCATTCATTCACTCATTCATGGCTAGGAAGGGGAGAATGGATTTTTAGTTAAAAGTGATCATTTTAATTAACTGGGGATGGTTAGACTCCATAGATAATTCATTAGGCTGAATGATCTGAAGCTTCATAACAGATGGTTTGGTTTCATGTTCCAAGCGATACTGAAAGATTTTTCCAATGTCCCAAAGCTATAGCCCATGTGAAACATAATTTTTTTATGTAAATAATTCTCCAGCAACAAAGAGGGAGAATCACTGCAAGGACTGTGTGTAACGAGCTTGATCTCTTACTGACAGCAAGGGCATTTCATGTCTGAAATGCTGCAGAAAGCAAACAGAGCAAGGCTGAGCAGACTCACCCTCCATGTCAGAGACAGAGTACCTGGATAGATTCATGGGGTCTGTTGCGGTGGAAACGCAGAGTATCACTGACCACATAACTGCGGCATGCAGTCCTAAGACCGCACGCAGCCAACTGTAAATGAAACCGAAGGAAACATATTGCACTCCTTTCAACCATTTAAACATCCCTTTTTCTTGCCAAGTTGTGAGTAAGATGGGCATTGTCCTTGCTCAGGGGACGGGGTCTGCTGTCGCTCTCTGCAGCTCGCTCATGTCAGCAATCAAGAAATACAATAAGGGATCCCTGTACATTAGCACTTAATTTAAGGTTAACAACTCCAATTTCTGTGAGGTCATCCCAGCCTCTCTCTTTTTGTTTTGCTTAGCCTGACAAAGACAGACTGAGTCCAAAGAAAATGATCAGTAACCAGTGTAGGCTCTGGTCCCATCTGTACTATACATTAAAGCAGTATCATACTACTTTGTGCAGTCATGGCTTCCACTAAAGGATCTTGGGAACTGTAGTTTGTGAAGGGTCAGAAAGTTGTTAGGAGACCCCCGTCCCCATTAGGTAAAGGGTAAAGGGACCCCTGACTGTTAGGTCCAGTCGCAGACAACTCTGGGGTTGCGGCCATCATCTCGCTTTACTGGCCGAGGGAGCCGGCGTTTGTCTGCAGACAGCTTCCGGGTCATGTGGCCAGCATGACTAAGCCACTTCTGGCGAACCAGAGCAGCACATGGAAACTCCATTTACCTTCCCGCCGGAGCGGTACCTATTTATCTACTTCACTTTGATGTGCTTTCGAACTGCTAGGTTGGCAGGAGCAGGGACCAAGCAACAGGAGCTCACCCCGTCATGGGATTCGAACCGCCAACCTTCTGATCGGCAAGCCCTAGGCTCTGTGGTTTAGACCACAGCACCACCCGCATTTGTGAAGGGTGCTGAGAATGGTTAGGCGACCCCTGTCCTCATTACAGAGCTACAATTCCCAGAGTTCTCTGGGAAGAGGGACTGGTTGTTAAATAATTCTGGGGATTTTAGCTCTGGGAAAGCAATAAGGTTCTCATTACAACTCTCAGCACACTTAACAAACTGCAGTCCCTTTCTTAGCCCTGAGAGACACATTTCCTTCTGTGTAACCTTTTTGGGGGACACATGCTAGAGGTGGGCAAGGCCAGAGGCAAACAACATATATGAATTTTTACCTTTGCACAGTAGGCTGGCACTACAGACTTGCACACTCTTCTTTATCCTTTATTCGAGCAAGCAAGAAGCTTTACCACAGTTCAAGGGCTCCTGGCAGCCCCGAGATCACCGGATGAAACAAAGTTTTTAACTGAAGCTGTTTTTAACTGCAGCAGTAATTTTTAAACTATTTTAGAAAAAAGTGGATTTGTTTGGTGCCGAGGAACAATGGGATATAAATTTAATTTTAAACAGCTAAATGAAATAGTTCAAACAGGGTGTTGTATGTTTTGAAGTATTTCTCAAGAAGATAAATGAGTACATAGGAGAAGTCCAATTTCTAGCAGCAGCAAATGGGAAAACATCTTCTGTGTTTCTGTATTCTTATTTGAATGAAGAAAAGTTCCACATTCCGTGAGTTATGTGAAATCAGAAAAGGCTTAAATAGAGTAAGTTAAGTTCAGTCCAGAAATATATACCAATAGCAAAGCTGGGAATATTTGCATAAGCACACAGCTCTGCTACGTTTCAGTGTTGGTCACCTGGGGGTGGCAGGCTGCCAAGAAATGTCTTTGAAATCCCCTGTGTGGATAGAGGTGAACTTTCTCCAGTGCTGCCGAACCTTTCAACCCCTGAGGTTAAGCATATGATTGCAGCTGCAGCCAAGGAAGGTCTGCTGAAGGGGATTGCATATGTGCCACAGGAGATTTTCATTTCATTTCAAAGTGCTTTGTCAAACTCTTAATATCTGTGTCCATCAAAAGGTGTGGGATGGGGGGAAAGAACCATTTAAATCATAGCATTCTAGGTCTGAAAAAGGACCTGAGGATAATCTGGCCTAAACTCCTGTACTGAAGAAGAGTGAACCCACATTAACTTGATTTATAGTATGCCACAAATAGGGAGGACAGAGGGAGGTACACTAAGCCAGATGTGCACATTCAGTGCTCAGGTCCCAAGCATGCAAACAAGACACAATCATCATTCCCTTTCCACCCACCCGAAGAAGGAATGGTTCACTGGGAAGCTCTGTAGCAATATGGTAGATTGGGTCCTCCCTTAAAGAGGGCATGTATTGCGGTGAGACCTGGAGAACTGATACCCTGTGTTGTGGGTGGGTACAGTTGGTCATCCACAACACCCGGTTGGTAGGTTCCTCAAAGCTGGGTACAATCTGGCCAATGGGACGCAGTCTAAACGGTTCGAGGGACCTATTTATGCCCATGCACGTGACCCAGAGCTTCCTCTTTCGGCACGTGCATTCGGCACGTACATCCGCCCACTTCTCTCTACTTTTAGGGCTTTGCACTTGACCTTGCTATGCCGTCATGTGTCATCTGTCATTGGGACAGGGGCACAGCAGGAATTTTCCCCACTTGGCTGATTGGCTGTTGCCATTTGGGTTTCGCCTTGTAAGGTTGCGGATAGGCTCTGGTTCAGGTGATAGGGATGGGAGAACGCTCTCGCCATCCCTATGTGAAGGGTATTCCGTTAAAGGAATCCAGGGACTCGATGGTTTGGTCAACCCCTGTGAGAGGGTTGTGCCCGTGCCTGAGTCCAGGGGGACATTTGGGTGGCGGAGTTAGCCCGTGCCCGGCTTTCCACTTATCCAGGTGTTTACCCTAGGCTTACCTATGCTGGTCAGCGCTACATGGATGGCAGGGAGCTAGTCGAACCAGAGCCTATGCAACCAGTCACTTTCTGTAATCAATAAAGTTGTGGCCTAAAGGTAAAGGTAAAGGTACCCCTGCCCTTACGGGCCAGTCGTGTCCGACTCTAGGGTTGTGCGCCCATCTCACTTAAGAGGCCGGGGGCCAGCGCTGTCCGGAGACACTTCCGGGTCACGTGGCCAGCATGATGAAGCTGCGCTGGCGAGCCAGCGCAGCACACGGAACGCCGTTTACCTTCCCACCAAAAAACGGTACCTATTTATCTACTTGCACTTAGGGGTGCTTTTGAACTGCTAGGTGGGCAGAAGCTGGGACCGAAAGACGGGAGCTCACCCCGCTGTGGGGATTCGAACCGCTGACCATACGATTGGCAGGTCCTAGGCACTGAGGTTTTACCCACAGCGCCACCCGCATCCCTCTAAAGTTGTGGCCTAAATTCTGCCAAAAACCAAAACTAAAATTTGAGTCATGTGTGAATTTATTTAAGGGGGAGGTTTCTGGGTCTGAACACGCAATGCACATACTTAATATGAAAAGGATCCAAGACAGGTACAAACCCCAGCATCTCCAGATAGGACTGGGAAAGACTCTCTGCTTAAATCTCTGGGAAGCCACTGTCAGTAAGCATAGAGAAGACTAAGCTAAAAGGACCAAAGATATAAGGCAGACCTCAAGGGCCACCTCTCTCCATATGAACCTACCTGGACCCTGAGATCAGCTTCTGAGGCCCTTCTTCATGTGCCTCCTCCACGAGAGATCCGGAGGGTGGCAACATGAGAACAGGCCTTCTCTGCAGTGACTTCCTGTCTGGAATGTTCTCCCCAGGGAGGTTCACCTGGCACCTTCATGATACACCTATAGGCACCAGGCAAATACGTTCCTCTTCAATCAGGCCTTGGACAGATTGACATCCAATGCCCTTTTAAAATGTGTTGGGGAGGGAGGAATTATTGGGTTGTTCTTGGTGTGCTTTATTGAAACAAGATCAAAATAGTTCTCAATATCTGCAGGAATGCACATTCTTTCAACTCAGGTTGGTTTTTACAGGGCTAAGATTTCAATCAGTGCTTTCAACATACTTGCATATGACCAAGTATGACCAAGTGTCATCAAATTCCAGTGGCTTGCCTGTATTGTATCAGTGGCATTGTCCAACTTAATGGTGTTCCATGCTATGTGTTTGAGTGTGCACTGAATAATGGACAGAGATGGCAATTTTTCTCACATCCTTCTACATTGCATATGCACAGGCCTTTAACTGATATTTCTTGCTTGTTATCAGAGGAACATGCATAGTCTAGCTTTATTTATTTTTTTAAATGGCCAAAGTTTTTATTAGGTAGTTGCTAGTTGTTTAGATAGTTCACTGGTCTAACATATGCTTAGTCAACAAACAAACTGCCAGTGTTAGGCAGAGTCACTGCTTTGTATCGGTCTATAGAATGTGACTTGACTGGAGTGGATTAAGCCTAAGATGTTTGGTCCTTTAGTCACATGGGTCATATGACCCATACCTGTTTTCTTGAAAGAAAACATAACATCCTGTTTCATGAGAGAAACTTCTCAAGCAACTTATAATGAAGTCAAGCCTATCCTTTTCTCATTTGTTGGAAAGTTCTCAGTGGCAAGAGTTCTCTATTTGGCTGAGCAAGGAACTGGACAACTTCCAGAATGTACTGAAACGTCAACTACAGTTATCAAAGGCTGTAATTATACTTTCATCAAATGCTCTGGCTTGTCCAAAGGTAGTCAGAATACATTAAAGGAGACAAATTTAATTGACTCTAATAAGTCCTGGCATGAGGCTTAATAATATTGTATAGAACTCATTGTCTTTGATTTACTTCATTGAGTTGTAGGCCTAATCAGTCACCACATTTTTGCGGAAAACTAAATAGAGGAATATTGAAGAATTATGTATCTTGGGTCTTATGGAATTTCAGAATCATGTTCTTCTAACCAGGTTCTTAGAATCTAACTACATGTCTCAGAGAAACTTGTATAACCAACCCTTGAAAGCTGGATTCATCCTCCACTTCCTCTTCCTTGAAAAGCCTCTTCAAGAAGGGCCTATCAATCACAAATCCATTTTCCCCTTCTTTCTTCCCTCCCAAAAATGATAAACATGGCAGATATTTGGTAGATGTGCAAAATCCAAACTACATTCTCTTCTGTTCACAAGGGAGGTACAGATAAGGTAATTTAGTATTGGAATCAGAAAAGAACAAGTTCTCTGAGCATCCTAGATAGGAATATTGTAAAACACTGTAATATTTTGTGGCACTGGGGAGGCACTTTTGTTGATTTCCCCCACACATTTCACTTGTCTAATTTTCACTTAGTCACACAACTCACTTTAGCTGGTCTCAGCAGTCGAGGATGAAATTCCCCCAAAACCTCACAGATGATTTTTCCCCATTAATAAAGCTGTGCATAAGCCATCAATTTAGATTGTATCCTGAAGCCCATGAGCCAAATCTGGAATTAACACATCTGACATTTTACATCAAATCTATTCCATAATTGAAGCTGCACACCCACTGCATGGCATCCTGATCACAGGGTTCTAATTTTTCATATGTTGATGCAAACAGGGTCTAAAAAAACCATTTCATGAAAAATGATCTATACTTCCTAACAAAATGTAAATGTTGAACCTTTGGCCCAGGTGTGATCCTATCGTGGCCACTGGGTATTTGGGCTTAGTCATTAGTAAAAGCAGGACCCCTTTGTAATCCAAAATGGGATGTAGATGGAGTCCTTGATGATTATTGCAGAAAGAGTGATTTTATCCAGAGCGGAAGCAATGCTCTGCGAGCCACTTCCAGTTCTTTAATCTGATGTCATGTTGGGTACTGCACGGCTGCCAAAGAAAGGCAAAGAAAGGCAAGATACCATATTATCCAGCTTCAATAAAGACATTAAGTGGCAATTTAAATCCTCCCAGCAGAGATGATTTGTGATTTTGCAGAAATGTATACGGAAAGGAAATGGAATAGCTTAACAGCAGCTGTTTGAACTGCTCTGTCTTCTTCATTTGGAAAAACAAAAGCAGCAAAAAATGAAACCCTTGCTGCTTCCGATATATTTTTTTCTTACAGCATTTTTAGGTGAAATCTTAGGCCCGCCACAATCTTAATTTTTCACAATACTGCACACAATCCCACTTGGCAAATAATCCCATGGAGCTATGAATTAGAGCTGGAACAAATGTGATGGACTATAAGCAGAAGAGACTGTTACCTCATGAGACATCCTCCATCCTGCAGTGTCTGAGATGTTCCAGACTGGAACATGGCACAGAGTTTTCACAGCAGAGGCATTCCTCTGAAGGACATAGGCTGCTGCCTTATAGTGAGGTACCGTTGGTACATCTTCTGCAGGTTTATGGTGCTGGGTGATCCATGAGCTATCACATATGCATCCGACAGGCAGCAGACAACTCACTGTCTCCCAATATCACATTATCCAGTGGTAGGCAAAAGAGTTTGCCAATGCTGTTTTCCTTCCAATGCAATTGAGTGAAGACATTTTAACAGTGCAGGGATATGCATGTTTGCTTGAATGTATCTCTTGTAAATGTCTGTTTAGAATTGTGGCTGGAAACTCATAACCCAGCAAGTGAATTCTAGGTATGAGGCCCATTTTAGATTTAATTTTACTTGCTAAAGCTCTAGACACCAGGTTGTCCTTACAAAGTGTTTGGATTTTCAGAAAATTCACTTAGGTTAAGATATTTCAGCTTAATGTAATATGCAGCAAAGTCTTTAGAACGCTGGCTATTTAGTGTGAATGTGCTGGATCATGTCATTCCTATTTCTGTAACCTTATTAGTGCACATTACCTGTCACTCATTAACTCACCCCTCTGCTTATTATGACCCTTTCTTTCAGGCACCTTCTTCTCTGGGGTTCTGCCATTTAGATCCTCTATTGCTGGCATCACCTCTTAGCCAGTTTTCCAGTCCTTAGCCTTTCCCACACAGCTCGCGCGTCCATAGGGTCCATGTGAAGGAGACAAACAGAAAGTCTCCCTTTCTACCGGAAGCTGAATTGTCAACATTTCGTTGTTGACTGCTTTGTTCATTTGAGCACTTGTACTGCTTGTGAACATTCTGTGGCCTCACAGCAGCTCAGCCAATTGATGCCAGAGGCTTCACTGCTATGAGTCTACAGGGGTTTCACACCAAATGCATTGTAATGGCATGGAAAATCAAGCATACCATTTAAAATGTCAGAAGGAAACAGGTTTCGACATCAAGCTTGCGGAGGCTGATTAGACACAGCAAGAGAGCTTTGGAATGGGAAAGATTTTAAAACATTGTGAAAACTACCTTGATGGTTCTCTTTTAAGTTTGATGAAGTCCTGCAGCATAACATGGAAATATTTATGTACTGAGGAATTAGGCAATGCCCTCTTTTTCCTTTCTCCCCTTGTCCTTTTGAATTCCTAATTGTTTTTGAACTCCTGACACAGTTAATTAGACACTAAAAAACACAAAAAGAATTCTTACTGGCATTTGGCAATCTGTAAATTGTGTGTACATGGGTCATGTTTTGTTAACAATCTACAAAGCCCCCTGTTCTCAATTTTCTCCATTCTTTCATGCAATAATAGGTTTGGTTAAGCCTCCAGATACATGGTAAATTGGATAAAGTTTGAAGCTTTGACTCCTAATGGCTTTTCTTGTAAAGAAAAGAAAAGAAAAGAAAAGAAAAGAAAAGGAGGAAGGAAGGAAAAAAGAAAGGCCAGCTTATATATAATTACTTCTTTTGTTCTTTTAGATGGTGCAGATTCAAGATGAACTGAATGAGGTAGAATGTTTGGAGTGACAATGAGGTTGTCTGGACCATCTTTATATGTCGTCACATCTGCACCAGATGCACCATGCACTTTACTGTCATGGCTTCCCCCAATGCATCCTGGGAACTGTGCTTCCTTAAGAGTTGTTAGCAGATCCCTCTTCCCCTCACAGAATCACAATTCCCAAGAGTTCCTTAGAAAGTTGGATTGATTGTTAAGCCAATGAGAACATTTTTATTTAAAAAAGACAACCCATTAAAAACAGCAATAATATTTAAAAACAGCCACATACACTCACAACTAAAATAAATTCAGGGTTGCTGGGAACAATATATTTCAGACATCAAATCCCTGGGTGAACAGGGATGTTTTAAAAGCCTTCCTCTTGAGTCCCATAGAGGAAGAGTAGGATGGCCAGACTTCACTGAGTATGAAATAGAGATGGTGTCACAGGGTGCCGGCCAACATGGTGGGCCTGCCAGTGCCTCCTGTGATGTCTCTTCTGGTCTTGTCTGCACTGGCTGAGCATCTCCTTCATTGAATATGCTTCCTCAGACAGGTCCACCTTTCAGTGGATTCCGTGATTGGACACCCATCCTTACTTGCCACATCTCCCACAGCAGCTATTTTATGAATGCTACCCATAGCTAGGTTTGGATGAGTCTTCCAATGTTTGTTTCTCTCAATTGGGGAGGGGGGATATTCAGTTCAGTTTTCCATATTTCCACATTAGTTTGTTTGTTTGTTTAAAAAAGAAGTCCTCGTGAAAATTCATCAGCATTTTAGTTCAAATTTCTTCTAATATATCCATGTTTGTATGCAATTTTCCCCAAGGTATACATTTTTGCATAGCAACTTTCCCTGATACAACACATTTTTGAATGTTCTTTTCATTTTTACACAAGCAAATGCATTTTTGCACATGCTCATTGACCTGCTTTACAAAATCTGAAGATCTGTGAATTTTGAAGTATTAGATGTGTTCCGGTTTGTGTGTTGTTTTAGGAACTGTGAATTGCAAAATTTTACCTTTAAATGTGAGCTCAGTCAAATTCTTCCCTCATCCCTATGCACAGCACTGTCTCAAAATTCCAAATGTGCCCCCTGGATCATAAAGGTTGGTAACCCCTGGTTCAGAGGATGCTCTCTGTTCATAAGCAATAGATAGACACGGGACTGTTCAATTACCAGGATCCCATTATTTGTTACCAACTTGTGCCCAACTCAAAAAACTTTCACCATCTGCAAATAATGAAAACATATATATATGTTTGTGATCTGTCAGATCCATAATTATTGCTGCTCTCTCCTACCTTTCACTTAGGATAAAGCAAAGGCCCCCTTGCTGATTGCCACGAGAAGAGTTCACATTCTTCAGCGAACGGTTTGCCCATGAGTAATGCCATTGACTTCAAAGCAAGAATGTTTGTGGGTAAGAGTGTGTGGGACCTTTGCTCATCAAGCTGTGCCTGCCTGTTCAAACTTCTTAAGCATCACTAGAAAAACAATGGTGTGTTGTGTTTAGAGGGATCATGTGATTTTCTCTTCACTTGGATATTAAATGAAGAAGACAGGCACCTTAAAAAAAATAAAATAGCCTTATAGGAAGACTGGGAATGTCCACATCAACTGAAGTAATTTAAAACTCTAATCTGCTCCATCCAAGTGGATGTCTTCCAGCACTCCACTGGTTCCCAATTTTTGTCAATGTGCTGCTGCAGTAGTGGTGCCAGAACAAGCCATATCCCTACTGGTGCTACATAGCCAAAGGCTATGCCTTCCCCAGAACTCTTCCATGCTGTTTATAACGTTTCTCTTCAACATGTTTTTCCTTGTTGCCTGTTGAGCATTGCACACTGAGCTCTGGTTACAGTGCTTAGATACATGGGTGCAATTTCTGCGTGCATTTCTGCATGTGTGCAAAATTTAGGATTCCACTAGATTTTATAAGGGACTGAGAACACCTAGCTCTTATTCCTCCAGCAAATCCTCCCCTTCCATTCACGAAGCCTGTGTAGCTCTGCACCCTCAGAAAGAATGACTGAACCCAAAGAAATCTAGCCAAGGCACAATTCACACACTATAGTGATTGTCATAATTAGGTAACAGTGTGGAATGCCTTTCAAAAGGAAACAGCTGCCATGGGAAGCCCCCCTATCCAGATTTGTACCCTGTTGGTAGGTAAGAGGGCTCTAGCCCTTTATGCAGCTTACAACTTGGCTGAACTACATCCCTTTGAACTCTTTGGATGCAGCAATGATTTTGTTTTGTGTAGGGTTGGCTAGAAGTTCTTAAGCAAAGAGGCAAGCCAACTCTGCCGTATTTAGGAATGGTCCAAGAACTCTGAAGGGAAGCAAAACAGATACCTTCCCAATCACTTCCCCCCAAAACTGGCCTAAAATTTGTTGAAATATCTGTGCTTAATTATTTTTTAAAAAATAAATGGCTGCCTATACCTTTAGAAGGTTTACATCAGATCTTCTGAAATGCTGCCCAGAATAGATAATAGGCTCAACAAAGATGCTTGCAAGAGCATGAAAGAGCATTTATATACATGGGCTTTTCTCAGTAATGTTTTAATTTCTTCTCCAGCAGACACCAGCAATAATCAACTGCCGTGTGCTCATTGTAGAATAATGATGATGATAATTACAACTAGTTCTGTGTTCATTCACTGCAGACCAGAATTGATTAAGTATTTTGAGTTGGATCTAAAGATGTACTTTTCACACACAAAAATGTGTCTTCCGTCTGCAGAAGGGCCATTTTACACTTAGCACTGTAGCACTGCATAAGAAAAACATTTTCTACACATACTCACACAACCCTCTCTATCTACGCCAAGCAAGCAAGAGGCATTATCAGAGTACAAAGAGAAATCCCAACCAGGCAAAAATACTCAGGGCGTGGAGCAGGGCGATTGAGAGGTATGGTTTGAGGAAAGTTTCAAGGGCCATACAAAAAGGCCAAGAGGGCCACCACCATTTTGTTGTTATGGATTTGCAGTGATCAGTTCCTGGGTGCCAGGTCTTTCCATAATCTCTACATTCAATGAAGGGTCAGTATTTGAGCAAAATCATAAATTCCTGAGTTCAGGAAGGGCTGACTTCCTCACGGTGATGGTGAGACATTGAAGAAACAATGGTGCCGATGGCCAGCCATTAGCCCCTCAGTGGAAGTCATCAACCAGGCAGAAGGTTCTGTCAGGCACAGAGGGGCATTATCAGGGTAACAGGGAGGCATGGTGTCACCTCAGGGAAAGTGTCCTTTTACAAACAGATTTTGGGAGCAGGGATTTCTGGTGCAGGAAGTAGGCAGAATTCTATGCATGTTGGCTGGGTGAGGTTGCACCAAGAGACCGGAGGTCATGACTGACTGTTGTTTCTGACCCAAGATTGCTGAAGCTATGAGAGGAACCATGAGAGAGACACTTGGGGTGTGATGTTCTGCACCCTCTGCATGGAAGGCTTCATGGAAGGTGTAAAATAAACCGCATTTCTTTAAAAGACCAGTCTCCACTGTGCCTTGATTTTCCAATGGAAACACAACTCTGGTTAGGTGCCAAGACCCCTGGAATCTCTTGCTGCTACTTCTCAGCTGAGATTGAGGTGGCCTGTAATGATTATATGAATGAATGTGTAAACCCTAGTGAAAGATCTTGTGCAAGCATTTGCAGAATAGTGCCCATGGCTAGTTTCCTTCTACTCATCATTCTTTGGATCCAACCCTCCAAATCTGCCCACACAGATTTATGTTTATCCACTGAAATAGAGAGTAGTGTTCTATAGAAGAGAAAACTATGAACTGTGGAAATAAACATTGGTTTATTTCCACAGTGAGGTTAGCAGTCCTCTCATGCCGTCCAAAAGGAAAAATATAAGACCTAAAATCTAATGAAGCATTAAGGGGAAGGACACAGATTTTTTGAATTCATGTAATATTGTTAGCCGAAACTGATTGTAGATTTCAGAATTTGGAGAGTAATGCTACATGGTTAATATTACAAGAGAACCTCTCATATGTCCACATAATTTTAATTCCACCTTTTAAAAGTACCATAGTGTCAGTCCCACTGCAGAGCTTTTAAAAAACATTATGTATCCTAGAGCCTTCCTTTCACGTATTAAAAGCCGGAACCTGGAATGCATCCAAGTTAGATCAAAGCTATGAAATATTCCCAATAGATGGGGCTAGAGAGTACCAGGAAATATTCTAAACATTCCATAGTGTGTTCTGAAACAACACAGGTATTCTGGCATGGAGACCTGACACCCAACACTAATTATGACTACTAATTAGTAGATTTTTTAAAAGTGTGCAGCCAGATTTCTGTAGATAAGCTGGACAACCTTCTGTTTGGGGGATCCCGCAAAGCAGATTTTGGGGTGCATAGAGGGAGCGGGGAAAGAAGTCCAGCTATATCAGAGGAACCGTGCTGGCACAGCACTGAACACAGCCCATAGTTGAGTTGGAGAATAGCGTAGCTAGTTGAAGAGAAGAGAAGTTATGGAGGCAGAAATATGAAGAGTTGAGGAGTTGAAGAGCTGCAAAAGCAAGAAAGAACTGAAATCTTTAAGAGAGCTGGAACACTGTAAACTGTTAGAGAGCAAAGATGAGAAAGGAAGGAGCTGAGAGAAGGCCAGAAAGGGACCCAGAAGATGAGCTGACAAATGCAAATTGATAAGTTCAGGCTTAGTTAGGGGGAATCATAGGGTAGATATATCTGGATGCATTTAGCTCTGTACATTTTTATTATTATTTGCCCATGTGGGTAGCTACTCAAGCAGTGAAATTGGGGTTTATTCCTAAAATTATTTTCTCACAAACTATTTAACTTCTTGCCTTACTAAAACCTTATGTAAAAACATACTTTGTTTGGAGGTGGGGGAGAGAATTTGTCAGAAGTCTTTTTATTCCAGTGTAAGTACTGGTTCGGGTAGTTAAAGTTCAAAAGGGGTTAGTAGAGGTAGCCAAAGAAACTTACAATTTATTTCCCTTCAGTAAGCACTAATGAAGATGCTTTGGTAATTTTCTGCTTTGCTCAATCAATTGGTTAGTTAAAAGGAAGCTGATAACCCTTATTTTGGCTTTACATACCATAAATCGCTCAGGGTAAGTGCTTTGCATGTGACCATAAGCATTGAAATGCATTAAATGGCCAAGAATATTAGCTCCTTCATTCCCAAGAGACAGCTCCTCCCCTGTAAACATTGGATTCCTGCCTTCATAAAGTTAAAGTGCTGAAAGCAGATAATGATGCAGTCTTGATAGCTGGCCAATAACTATGAAATGAAGTTATATTTATCTTAACATCTATGCATTTCTCACATGCAACAATACTTTTTGAAAAGTTGTTTTCAATGCATGGAATATGTTCCACTGGATCAGGACACTTCTATGATATTTTGTGATTTTGGATATATTAGTTTAGTTTAAATTCAGTCCACAGACATATTCAATAGACTCATCTGCCCACCCACTCTCAGAGGCATAACCTTTAGATATGAAGGTTGAGGATGTAATCTGATTAATGGTAACTTTGAAGATGAGTGCACACACTGCTGCTTCTTCTTCTTTTAAAAAAAGCAGAATAGGGACTTGACGGGGACTGTGGATTTACCAAGAAAATATAAGAAAATAAGAATTGGTCCTGGTATCTCCCACCCTATTTCAAGAAAACTCAATATGGAAAAGCACTGCCTGAATCTATCTCAAAAAACGATATTGTACAGCTGGAAAAGGTTGACTGGTATGAGATTCACACAGCTGATATGGCATTTGATGCCACAAGATGAAGTCATGGTCACCAACTTGATTAGCTTTCAAAGGCGATCAGTTAAATTCACAGAAGGTAAGGTTATCAATGGCTACTAGCTATGACAGCTGCATTGTTCTTGGCACCTTTCTGTCCAGAGAGACAATGGAATCAAATCGCTGTGTTAGTGAAGTGATTTCTCCAGGGTGCATGCCTAGGAGATGTGTATGGAGGTCTTGAGCTGGCAAGAAAACAAAAGCTCCCTCTTGGCCTTGCTAATGTGGTCCAACGGAAATCAGTGCAATATGATTGACATCAGCTTGGCTGCAGGGATTACCATCCAACAATCTTAGGGAGTGCACTCTGGTTTTGTGTAGGGTTTACTCCTTAGCTTTTTCTTCTCCTGAAGATATCCCATAAGGCAGCAGAATTTTAGGACCACAGTTTTCCTTCTCCAAGATGTACTACCTTCCTAGGTTGACATGCCTCATCTTGTCTGCTCAATGTGCCAGAGTCTGTCTTCACATGCAGGGGAAGTCCCTAACTCACTGAGGGTCTAAGACCCATCAGATGCCCTCACCTGGTTTAGTTGAAACCCTTTCCCAGGGTGTGTCTGCTGTCATATCCTGATGGCTTCTTGAAGCCACAGGTGAGAGCTGAGTGCAAGGTGGGGACCAGAGGTGGACAAACTACCCCAGACGGAGCACAACATGTTCCCTGTCGGCATGTAGAGGGCCAGGAGGCCAGCTGGCTAGCCCTGGCTGTGCCGTCTCCTTCCAGCTGTCCCGCTGTGAAGACCATCACCTCTGCTCCGACGTAAATCAGCAACCTGGGCTTCAAAGCCAGGGCACACTATCAGCAGATCAAGCTGCACACACAGAATAGGTGTGAGGCTTGTAGAAGCATACTACAACTACAGATTTATTAATCATAAATCAGGACAAAGAAACATGTCATCTCTCTCTCTCTCGTCATCTCAGAGAGAATGGGAAAAACAAAATGGAAGTTCATAGCAAGCTGTGCTGGAATGTACACAGACATGTAACACGCAACAATTCCACACATCTGCTCCTTAAGGTGGAATAGAAATGTCAACGCGAGACGTACTGTCAGGGACTGGCTGGACGACGAAGAGTGGTGGGAAGCGCTATCCAGGGAACCCACAAACCCCGGAGGAGGAAGGCTCAGAGCCAGGGAATTGGTTCTGACTGAGGACAGGTCGAGCAGATTGGGAGGGAGCAGATTGGGATGAGCGGCTGGATGCTGAAAGGGCAACAGGGTTTAGTGAGGAGGGAGAGCCAGTGACAGGGAGCCGTTCAGACCCTGAGGCTGAAGCAGAGGAGGGGGGGTCATGTCAAGAGGCTGCTGAAGAATCCTGGAAGTCTCCCTCTCCTGCTGCTCCCCCTGGTCTCCAAGAACGTGCAGGATAATGATGAGAGAAGAGGAAGAAGAAGAAGAGGAGGAGGAGGAGGAGGAGTAGTTTGGATTTGATATCCCGCTTTATCACTACCCGAAGGAGTCTCAAAGCGGCTAACATTCTCCTTTTCCTTCCTCCCCCACAACAAACACTCTGTGAGGTGAGGTGGGGCTGAGAGACTTCAAAGAAGTGTGACTGGCCCAAGGTCACCCAGCAGCTGCTTGTGGAGGAGCGGAGACACAAACCCGGTTCACCAGATTACGAGTCTACCGCTCTTAACCACTATACCACACTGGCCAGAGACCAGAGGTGTGCAGACGTAGTTTGAGACTGCTTGGAAAACATCCAGGAGCCTTAGAAAGGATGGAAGGCAGGGACCTTCAGTCCTGGCAACAGCTCTATAGGGTCAAGGCCAACTGGGAAGTGTTGCTGATTTGTATGCCGTTTCCTTGAATAAAGAGTTAACTTCACTGACAACTGCCTCTGCCTCTTCGTGCCAACCTGCACTTGATAGGTACTACCCCTTCCCTAACACCCTATACATCCAGAGAGCTGCATAGCGTCTCCAATAGCATAGGAGGCATGTCTCAAAACACCAGCTTCCAGGGAACAACAATGAAAGAAAGCTAGCACACTAATGTCCTGCCAGTTGGATTCCCATGGGCACCTTGATTTGTCACTGTGGGGATATATTTGTAGTCCAATGCAACAGGATTCTCTTCTTTCGTCCCAAATGATCTTTTCTGAACTGTAGCTATGCTTGAAACTAGGAAAACAGCAGCTATGGTAATGGCTTATTCATCTGAGTAGACATTTTGTCCACTCAAACCACAGCAGAAGCTTGTCTTCTCTGCATATTTTGCCTTCATACATTATTACAGAAAGCTGAGTAAAATAATGGAACGAAACAGAAAGGCATTCCCAGCTGGCCAGAACAACAGAAAAGAGAAACTGGATAACGTCTGTGAAAATTACTGTGGTGAAATTAGATGTGTACGTTAATAGAATATTATAGGAGAAATAAAGAACTCCGACTATTAACTAGCCAATCACCCACCAGAATCACATGCAAAAATATATTATATGTAGCACGCCAAAAAAGGGGGGCTTTCTAGAACAATTTGTGACACCACATAAGTTTATTTGGGCAATGTAGAGATCTCTCAGGGGGCTACACGCATCCTGCAAAGTTTGAGGTGGGGGGGGGTTGCTCAAGGGTAATGAAAGAAAAAAACCCAGAAAATTGTTCCTGACATATATAGCGCACTAAATAATAAAGGCCTTAAAATTTTATGACACTCCCAGGATAAAGGGAAGTCTGTTTTG